CATTATCAGACTTTAAATTTTTAATTGTTACATGTGTGATGTCAATATTAAAGCCTGTCAAGATTTTGGATGTTGGGATTTCCTACTAGACTTTTGTAACTTTGATAGAATTAACAATTTATTTAATTGCTTGGATAAAGCTTTCTCCAAGCAACCTAAAAACCTAACATTTCATTATATAGAAAATTATCCAAAATTTCTGTAAATTGATAGAAACCTTAACATTTACGTTTTACTATATGCTACTATTTTCTACTTAACAATTGTTTATAAGTAAAATATACTTACATAAAGTAGTATTTAAAGCTTCTTCTGTGAGGAGCCTTCTATAGTATAAATGATGGTTATATTTTGTAAAAAAATTTATTATATAAATTTAATTGCATGAAGTTGAGAATTATGAGAAAGCCACCCTTAGAGTAACGGCTCGGCTTGGCTTGAGGTTGATTGGCTTGTAAACGGCTCAGCTCTGCTTGCTGAGCCAAAAGATCGGCTCTGGCTGATTAGTGTTAGTGTGAGCCGAGCCGAGCCGAGCCGAGCCATTCGCATCACTAATCATGATCATGAATTGCTGGATAACACAAATATTGAGTCATGCGTTGATAAATATTCTATACATATCACAAATTTCGTGTATCTAATCCTTGACCATTCACAAATTTTATTTATCCTTTTAATTGAATATGCATTTATATCCATGGATATTCATGGATCCACCTCAACACTATTATTATTTACTATCCTGCAGTTCTTATGATCATAACGTGACCGATAAAAATGCAAAACTCTTAATATAGCTAATGCGGGTTTTTAATCGAATGTCTTAATATTAATAAGTATGAAGATAAGGTAATAATATGAATATACCGATAAAATCGTAATTAAAAAATAAATAATAAAATTTACAATACATCAATCATTTTCAATTACTTTAAAAACCTCTAATCCTTCGACACTGTAAATACCATTATCTAAAAGTTTACGATAAAGATGCTGCTCATAAGAAATTGTGCTATATTTACTGTAAAATTTAAATTTAAAGTCAAAGATGTTTAATGGTTTAATATTACTATATTGTAATTTAAACTCTTTAGTCCCTACAATAGAAGAAAATTTAATTTTTTCATCATCAATTTTGAACATAAAGCTATATTCTAATTTCGATTTAAAAGTTGGTGAATGCGAAATTAATGAATATTTTGTCTTAAATGGATTATATCCTCCGATTACTATATCAAGTTCGACAATGCGAAATACTATAACGGTTGGATCTACGCAGAAAGTTTCATACTGCGTTGGTTCAAGTAAAACCATTGTGTATGCATCTTCGATAAATCTAGATTTTTTAGGTTTTTTGGAATAAATTTTTTTGTAAATTTCTCTGATTTGTCTGTTGTTTAATAATTTGGAATTAGCTCTTGATGCTTTATTTCTACGGGGAAGTACTCGTATGTCTCTTGGTTGCCATCCTTTAATAAGATATGATTGTAACACTTGTTCACAAATATTTCCAAGAATTTTTTCATATGGTCTAACATGTTTATAAAATTTATCCGATGACATTGTAAAAAATCTCACTAATGGAATAAAATTTTTTAATGTTAATTTCATAGATTCAATATCTTCCCCCGACCATTCAGAAGGATCTGTCGAAAGATGTGAATTCTGTTGTGCACATCCCCATTCAATGATGCGGTCCCAGATTTCTGCTTCATCTTCTACACAAAAATTATCGCGATCGAGAATAGGAAGAAGTTCTGATTCTTCTAATTCAACGAATTCCCGAGAATGCAGTAACACTTCAGGTTCATACTGAATAATATCATCCACGTATTCGCTTAATTGTGTGAATTTATGATGTTGTAGACTAATTTTGTAGACATAAACAAAATTTTCTCGAATCCATTGGGCTCCTTGCTTGAAAAAGGCAACCAGTAAGTCTTCTATTAAGTCATCAAAGTAAAGTTCATCCAATGCAATGAGAAGTTTAAGAAGGACTTCAGCCTGAAGAATATCAAATTGAATTATTCCGGTATAAATATACCTATTATTAAAAAATAAATATTAGCGCTGGTAGAATAATAATTTTAAATCATATCGATGCTAAAAACCATATATATATTTTTTGATGGTAATTTTTTTATTAAATTAGAGTTAGGATTAAGGTTAGGAAAGGATTGTTTAGAGCATCAAGTACTAATTCCAAATTATTAAACAACAGACAAATCAGAGAAATTTACAAA